TGGACTCGCAGAACGGCCATAAGGACTATCGCCACGCCTCCCATAGCCTCCTCCCCTTCTAGGGCTGTCACCTCGCTCTCCATCGTCTCTAAGAGCGTATTCAACAGAAACCACTCGATCCAATATCTTGCTGCAATAAAGAGGGATCATCGGTAATTGCTAGTGCAACATCCTCAACAATAAGAGGAAAAAACAGATAAAAAAATTAGGATATATTGTATCTGGTATTTTTTTTTCATCAGTAAACCACTGGCTAAATAAGCTAATCCTACCAAACATACTGGTCAGCACTTTTGCAATAAAGTTTTACTCTCACAGTTTGGGATAATTTGGTTAAAGACTGAAAGGGTACAATAGAAAGATTATACACTTGCACACTATCATGTAATACTCATAATACCTGGATAGACATCATTAAGGCACATATGAAGTAACCAAAAACCTGATTTAATATAGAACTCCTTTGGACTGGCAGAAGTTACATGTCTAAATAATAGGTAGAGATCAGATTCTGAAACCAGAGTACCCTCAAAGAACAAAAAAGATAATGTGATCGATCAAGTCCAACATATCAGACAACCTTTTTTAATATTCAAATTTGAAAGTTAAAATATGAAAAGTCACTTATATAGCATTACTGATTCATTAATCAATTAAGGAGTACTATGAAACATGGTTTACAAATGAATTTAAGATCAACTGACTTCAAGGAAACTGCCAACAAAAATGACTGGGTAATCATGATGCATCTAGTCACAGGTCAATATAACAACTTAAAAGGAACATGAAGTAGGATTTGCTAGCAAGGTCTATGATATTAACCAAAGCTTAAAATGACATTCTGTATAGTTTAGAAAGATAACAAGATATTATGAGCTGAACCAAAATGCTCACTTTGTTAACTGATGAAGACTAAAAACTTGTCAATAATGTAAAAAATATTTCATGAAAAAAATAAACCAAGGAAAGAAAGTAGATGCATCACTAACCTCATGTTGGTGCATTCCAGAGCCTTTGTAGCCTCCTCCTGTGTTTCAAATTGCACAAATGCAAAATTTCTCCTGATACGAACATTTAACACCTTACCATAGGGCTCAAAATGCCTTTCAATATCACGAGTCCTTGTGGTGATTGGATCAAAATTAATGACGAAGAGTGTTTTGGTAGGTCTCGCATTTGCCATTGACCGAGAACCATCACGATGTCGAGGTCCACCACGCTCCCCTTGCTAAACAAGAAGACATGTAAAATAATTATTCAAAAAATTAGAAGAAAAAGAATGGGCAGATACAAAAATTATTTTACTTGAATCGGCGGGGTATTTGTGCAAATAGGTATAATCCATATAATTGCGGAAACTACCAAAATAAAAAAGTAATCGGCGGGGTATTTGTGCAAATAGGTATAATCCATATAATTGCGGAAACTACCAAAATAAAAAAGTTGGCGTTGACAATAATAACTATAAGTATACGAAAGAGAAAGAACCGTATAAACTACCAAAATAAAAAAGTTGGCGTTGACAATAATAACTATAAGTATACGAAAGAGAAAGAACCGTATCTAAAAGAACAGAACAGAGAAAACAAGTGAAGCCTAGAATTGTATGAAACAAGGCCTATTATAAGCCTAAAAAGGAAACTTACCCTTGACCACTCCACCGAAAGCCTGCGTCTACTATAGCCAAAAGGCCTATCATGGAGGTCACGAATAGCATCTTCAGCATCACGCTCATCCTCAAAGTAAACAAAAGCAAACCCTACAACATGATAATAGATAAGACAAAGAAAATAGCAATTACATGTATGGATACTGGTACACTTCCTTATATGGCACCATAACATACAAAGAGCAGATAACTAATTCCTGTTAAAACAGAAATATACTACACCTGTAGTTATTTGAGGCCAGATGGACATTAGAATTTGAACATCGAAGCCTTGTGTCAGGAGAATTAAAAGCATGATGAAAGTTAAATCCAATGTAAGAAGTCATTGCTGAGCATATTACGCCGTTTTTGAAACCAACAATCAGTTGGCTTGTCAATGTTACATAGAGCAATCAGTAAGCATGGCATCGTGACATAAACGACCAGGAGTCCATGCATGTGACATGGGACGACTGGTAGGCATGGCATTATGATGGCAAGGCATGGAGTTATAGAGCTACCAGGAAGCATAGCATAGAGATGAAGTGACGAGGAGGCATGGCATGGCATGGCATGATGATATGTGACGAGCAGTAGGCATGGCATGGCATGGTGATATATCTCCTTCAATAATCATGCTTGGGCAGGGCAAGGCAAGAATGATAAACAGGTGAGCATGTAATGGGAATGAAGGATGCCAGTAATGAATGGTAGAAGCTGATATGCTGGTTATTCTGGCAGACAGGTTGCCTTGGGCATGTAGAAGGAATTTGCATGAGGATGGAGCCTAGAAAGAGCTTGATTTGTCTTTCTGGTTCCTGCGTCAAAACAAACATTTAAATATGGGTGTTCTTCCACACAAAAGCTGGCCTACAGCCATATCAGAGCAGCCAATAGGCATATACTATGCTATGCAACCCATGAACCTGTTGCTTATTTGCTTGATCTCTGTTGATGCAATTGAGCAATAAGACAACACAAGTCATCCACAACCTTCTTAAATACATAGAAAAAACTGAGCAGGAAAAAGGACTACAATGTAAAAGGCGCGACACTTGCAAGTAAACTATTAATAGATATCTCAAAACTTGAAACCAAAAAAAGGACATACTAAATAAGAAACAAAAGTTAATAGAAGAAACATACTTCTTTGTCATCATAACGAAGGAAACAAAAAACATGACTTCAAAATCTAGGAAAGAAAAAAGCTTCAACAAGATACTAATTCCTAATAGAAGGCAAGGACATAATCTCAACCAACCACTTCATGAACATGGACCGGCCTTCAGGAAGCTACGATAAACATCAATCATAAAAAAAGCAAGAAGAAATCACAACAATGACAACATGAAACCATAAATGTTTCACCAATCACTCGCTACCACAAATACATGGCATTTTAAAGAAATAAACAATTTTAAAAGAGAAGTCATTACAAAGCTTCCATGATGTTTAATGTACCAAATTGAATGCAGGCCAAAAGATTCATATGCTATATGTATAGAATAATTTCGTATAAACTTGATCTTATTCCCATGATCCTTTACCATAAGTTGTTTACATTAGTCAAGGAAATTTATATTAAATCATTTTTCCCTTTGTCCATACTCCCCAGATCCTCTGTACATTGTTGATCAGAAAAACATGGGAAGCAACAGAGAGATACCAAACCCTAAGCATAAACTGAGTGAAACTCATAATACAATTCCTCAAAAGGCACACAATAGGCATGAACAAACAAAGAAATAGATATAGATAAAGACTAATAGGTACAATAATTTCACCTATGATTAGCTCTTTCCTAAAACAAGTTCCTAGCTCTGATGTCTCATTTATCAAGGAAATAAATAAGATGCCACCATACTAGTAAACACAGCTGGATGAAAACCCCCGAACACAAACCCACAAAAACAGTTTAAGAAATATGAAAAAAAAAAAGTTTAACTGAATATGGCTTATCAAAATTATTGTAGATCCACAATATGTAAACAAGAATACATCCAACATGTGCAAGAAAGTTTTGAACTTGATATCTATTGAAACATATATTCACTGATGCCCAAAATATCTGTTTCCTAGGCTTTGCAACAACCTTATTCACTTACAAATATAGCTTGCAAAAGTTTTTAAATGCATAAAATTACCCTTTTACTGCTTTATATGCTTTGCTAGATTTTACAAAGAAAAATTATAAGCAGCTGATATTCAACTCTTACATAGAAGCAATGAAAAGAAAAAAATATATACAATAGCAGTGACAAGACTGAACTGGTATTAACAATGCAAAAAAAAATTAGTTTATAATGTCTCATATGAAATATTAATCTCAAATTTGTAAGGAGAATTTGAAGCAACATCACTCGAAAAGCAAGCCATAATACCCAATAGAAAGGGAAAATGAAATGGCAGGATTATAATGCACACAGGGAAGCTGTTACTACAAATGGCGAGATAGGGACTTGTCATATTTTGAATGCTTTTAATAAACATGAAATGCAGTGCAATATATAGTGCACAACTCAGCAGTCAAGGACTACAAAATTCTCTATTGTGGATGAGAGCAGAAAGGAAAGTAGAGTTACAAGAAAAATACTGATGACAATCAATGAACTGAACAAAATTCATTGCGAACAAATTTCCAAACTTGGCTGAGAGTCCCAGGCTCAAAGGGTCAGGTACAAATATGAATAAACTTCGCACGATCACAAGTGTCAAGTCTGTGCACATAAGTTTTAAGGAGGCCAGTAAAAAAATGTGAAACTGAATGCAAGTAAGCCAATATCACTTCAATACGGCTGCTAAGCAAGATAAAATTGGGCATACTTAAGCAACCCACTCATCTATGCAAGGAAAAGAATATAAATAAGTTCTTAGGAATTAAAGATTACAATGTTTACTATTAGACTGGATGTATTCCCAGGAATTAAAGATTACCGTGTTGATTTTGAGACCAGACATAAGAATAAGAGAGATCTAAACAGCACTTAACCATTAAGTAAGATCAATTCTTAGGTAATTAAAAGATATTTCATATACAATTATCTTTCATTTAACTTAACGGAACGACAAAATCGATATATGAATGTGATTCAAATTAGAAAGAACTAGCAGAAAGTTTCCCATTCTTGCCAATGAATCGGGTAATCAGCCAATAATTAGGAACAAGACCACAAACAGTAGGTAGAAACTAAATCCATATGAAGGCTAAACATCAAATTTATTTATAAATTAAAAACAAAAGATCGAAATTTATAATACTCCCTGTCATTAAATAGAATACATCACACAAGTTCCCAACAATTTCAAACGAGAAATCATTCTATAAACATTTTATTATACGAGAAAAATATATAATATGAGGGAAAAATTAGGGATTATACCAGATTTCATGTCGATGCGATCAACCCTCCCATATCTCGAGAACAGCCGTTCAAGATCCGAGTGCCTCGTCTCGTAATCGAAGTTGCCGCAGAAAACAGGCCTCATCTTTCCCAAATCGAACGGAAAACCCTACAGAAACCCTAGAACTTCAGAAATAGGAGAAAACCCTAACTGAACAACGAAATCGCAAACCCCACGCGAAATAGAGCCAGAAAGAGAGAGAAAAGGAAACCCTGATCGCTTAAAAATCGTACCTTTGACGATGAGAAGAGAAAACCCTAGAGTGAGAAACAAAGGAGGCTGGAATTGAAAATTTGGGGAAGGAAACCGGCCGAACGCGTTTAAATAGAAGCATATATGTCCATCTTGGGCTCGCTTTACTTGGGCCTTGCAACGGGCTCATTGGGCTTCTTTTGAAATGCTATTGATGCTACGGCTAGGCCTTAGTTAGCTTTAGTTATTATTGGGTGAAATTCTGAGACAAGTCCATCGAATTTTAATTTCCGTGAATTTTGTGACAAAACTATAGTCATGGGATTACGATGAGTATCTATGCTCGCATGTGAACAAATATATTAAAGGGAAAAATGCTTCCAGCCCCCAAAACTAATGAAAACAAGCTTCCCCCTCCCAAGACTTTTTCAACGTGTGTTTTACCCCCAAAAGTAAACTCTGTGTTCTCTGAGCCCCCAAAACACAAAACCCAAGAAATTAAGATACGTGAAGACCATAATACCCTCCATTGTCACATCCTCCTTCCTCTCCAAACCTAACCCTTGTTAAACAACAAACTTGGATTTTTTGGATGTTAGAGAAGAAGAGCAGCAATGGAGTATATATAGCACCCCAATACAACAGCTAGAAATAAGTAAAAGACCAAAAAGTCCATTTGAAAAACTAGCCGTTAGGCTCATTTTGACCACTTGTTGGTCGACCGGTCCGGTCGACCGGAAAGCACAAACAACTCAAAAAACAGGGTTTAGAGCTGGCGGTCGACCGACGGAATTTTCGGTCGACCGGAAATTCTCTCGGTCGACCGGTGCGGTCGACCGAAAGGCTCTCTGGAACTATGCTAAGAAAAAGAACAATTGTCGGTCGACCGTACCGGTCGACCGAAATCTGATATACACAAATTGACAGGTTTTGGGCAGTTTTGAAAATTCGTTAAAAATATCAAATCACATCCAAAAATAGTGAAACTTTGGGGAAAGTTTCTAAATGATGAAATGAACATGTTTGAAAAAGAATTTCTGGAAAATTAATTTTCGTTTGTGAAAACTACCTGTTTTTGAAGAATGCTTAGAAAACCTGTAATTTTTATGAAAGTGAACTTTGATATAGGACTTGTAAATATTCATATATATATTGTGCATATAATATATGTATATAGTGAAGTATGAAGGAGCTGTAAACATGAGATAAAGTATTTTAACAACGTTTAATGAAAAATCATCTATATGATAGAAAACGTCAAAAATCGTGTTAAGTGTATATATTGAGCTTAGATATAATCATACTATATATGTAAGTAAACTAACATATACCTAGGTAAATCCACGCAAATGAACTTGAATCTTTAACGCTTGATTAACGCGTGTTGAAATACCTGAAAAAAGAACATAAACACAAAACACTAGAAAACTTATTAGTAATAAATTGTTTGTCAAATCATCATCAAAACTATAGGGTCAACAATCTCCCCCTTTTTGATGATGGCAAACAATTTATACATGAATATGAAATATATACTGATAATCCACATATAAGCCAAGAACAAGAGTAAATCATAACAAGACCATATATATATAAAAGAATCAATTTGTAAGCTATATGTGGTATTTTCTCCCCCTTTGACAACATCAAAAAGGGAAAAATGAAAGATAGGAGCAATACTCCCCCTGCTTATAAGCATAGATAAAAAATAAAGAATTGTATGTCAAAGGCTCCCCCTGTCAAATAGACTAAGTGACATTTATTGAACATACATACAGGAGCTAAACCAACAACTTTTCATCAAACATATGCATAAATAATACAAGTAATTCAAATTCTATAAACAAAAACATGATTATAGTCTTAACCATGCATTGATCATAACATGATAAACAAAACATCATTTTAGCATCATAGATTTGCATAAATATACAAAACCTAAACAGTGCAAAGAACTCATGACAGGCAACAAATATTTACCGCACATCAAATTATGAATGTTGTTTCAACAATGCATTGATTTATAAAAGAAATAAATTAAACACAATAGGCCACAAAATATCACATAAGCATTAGAAGCAATATAGTTTTGCACTAACCATGGATTTGTCCACAAGATAAAAAATCACACAAAACCATACATAGTTTGTTCCACAAAGTATCATAGAGTTATTACACTCAAATAAAACAGAGTTATCAAATCAATCATCTCCAAAAGAGAACATTAAAAAAAAACAAAAATAACCATCACATAGAGAAACTCAAGTCAGTCACCACCAGCACCATCACCACCATCATCATCACCATCACCTCCAGAATCAGAAGAGCCTGATCCATCAGCAGAATCCTCACCAGAATTAGACTCAGAATTAGAAGGGATCCCGAGAGACTGACGCTGAAATGAAAGAATAGTATCACCCAATCCAGGTTACGCTGAAATGAAGGAATAGTATCCCTAAAACAAAATCCAGGTTTTGAAAATCCGACGCACATGCACCACGACCGCCGCCGTAAACTTCGTCATCCTCCTCTTGCTCATCACCTCCTCCTGCTCATCCTCGCCGTCACCGGCGTCTCTCCACGTGTCACGTTCCCGGCCATCCGCGTGGAGCTCAACATGACCCTCGACCTCCTCATCAAAAACCCTAACTATGCTTCGTTCTCTCCAGCTTTACTATGGTGGGGCCCAGGTTGGGGAGGCTGATGTGGATCCTGGGAGGATACCGGTGCGCGGGGCGATGCTCGTGACGGCGAGGTTGACGGCAGAGGGGGCAATCTCATCGCGGAGGTGGGGACCCTGCTGAGGGACATGATGACGGCCGCCATCGGGGAAAGGGACGGAGGAACCCTTTCAAATCATCACAGATAAAGAAAGAAAAAGAGAGAGAAAGGGTATTATGGTCTTCAAATTTTAATACTCTTGGTCTTTGTGTTTTGGGGGCTCAGTGCATATTTGTTACGAATTTGGGGGTTTTGAGAGCGTTGAAAAAGTCTTGGGAGGGGGAAGCTTGTTTTCATTAGTTTTGGGGGCTGGAAGCATTTTTCCCTATATTAAATTACATATAATTACAATGAAAAGTTAAAATTAAAAAGAAAAGAATAAAACTCTACTTTTTCTATCAAATAATAATAATAATAATACACGAATTTTAAATTTTAAATTCTAAGAAGAATTAAGTGGAACGCGTCATCTTGTCTCATAAGCCGGTGTCCTAAATTCTGAGTTCGAAATGAAGTGCTCCTCAAATATTCAATAATTCTACATGGGTCCCTCAAATCTTTAGTATTGTTCATGAGTCCCTCAGATCCTGAGCAGACTTGCATATTAGTCCCTCAATGACAAAAATGCTCCCCCATTTCTACGTTTGTGAACACCGAAGTCCTTGAGGGACCAATTTTTGCTATATCTTGGGACCAATTTGTGCTATATCCTAGGACCGAGTGACTTGTGATCGATTTCAAGGATTAATACCAGGGTCTAATATAGAAGAATATTGAAAGATCCGAGGGGCTAATGTCTAAACAAACTCATGACTAAATTGTCTGCAAGAAACGCAGGCGTAAGAGCATCTCCAACCGATCAGGAAAAACCCAAATTGACGCAAACCGACGCCAATTCCTTCCTCCAACCGATCGGCAAACGTTACGCTGCTTTAAAGGGCTACTACAGTATTGCGTCAGGAATGACGCAACACTGTAGCTTTGAAGCCCCCCATTTTACCCCTTAAATTAGTTATAACAAATAAAAAATTCCAAATGTATCCCAAATGAAAATAGTAAATTATAAATTGGTGTAAAATTTGATGTAATGGATTGAAAATAAAATAGTAAATTGATGTAAAAACTATATCAATTTAATATAAAAACTACGTCATTTTGGTTTTTTTGGGGAAATGGAATTTATTGTGGACTACCACGAAAAAAGATTTGTGCCCCTAAAAAAGGAATTTTTTTGGATTCAGGTCGCTCATTTCCATGGCCGGAAGCATCGCAAGATTAATGACACGTCCACCGCTTAATCCAGTTATCGGGCGTCGGATTCTGGTATTCCTCCCCCGCTCCGTTTGGACCCGACCCGATTCTGACCCGGCCTCCTCCTCCTCCAAGGAGAAGAAGCAGCAGCGGCAGCAAGGCCACCGCCTCGCTTCCGTCGTCGACGCCGTCAACGACCGCAAGCTGCCCCCTGAACTCCGCAGTCGCCCTAACGCCGTTAGGTATACTTTTCCAAGGGTTTTCCTTTATTTATTTATTTTTATTTATGAAATTGTGAATTGGTTAGTAATTATGTAAGACTTGATTTGATGATAGGGTAACGTTATTTATGTTAGGGTTATTATGGTTTGTATTGCTTTTTTGTAGAACTTAATTAAATTCTAAGGAACAACATGACGATAATGCGTTTGAATTAGGTCAGAAGGCATTATAGCAATTGATTGTTTTAACTTTTAAGAGGCTTTGATTTTGGATTGGAATCAAGGATTACCTTTAGATTGGAAATATAGTGTTACGCGCGCAAATCTTTTTTTTTTTTTTTTTTTTTTTTTTTTTTATACGCGCGCAAATTTTTTTTTTTTTTTTTTTTTTGTTCTTGACTGAATTTACTATTTAACTTCTAATGTTGCCTCTCAGATAAATTATTATTTTGTTTAAATGATAAGGTATATAAGAGTCAGTAAGTGACTACAGTTTGAAGTTTGCGTTGGAGCGACCCTATTGGACGTTACAGTTTATTGCTTTCATTTCTTCGGGCAACGATAGAATAAGCCTTGAATAAAATGAGATGCTGAGGAAAAGAAGTCTCAACGTATTGGTCATAGTAATTGGATCATCATGGGTTTCTATTGAAACTGGCTAGTTACTATGAGCCCTTGTGTTGAAATGATTGCAAGATTGCTATCATGGGTTTCTATTGAAACTGGCTAGTTACTATGAGCCCTTGTGTTGAAATGATTGCAAGATTGCTACTTGTAAGCAAAGATTAATTAACCACATACTCTAGGCTGACGAGTGAATTAGTGTAAACTCATCAATATGTTGTTAGAAGAGAATATGCTTTTTGCGACCAACGATGCAGAGTTGTGAGGCTTTTTCGGAAGTTCCATGTAAAGAAGAGTTTCATTAGAGCGTCTTAAAGTCCATCTAACCATTACACCAAAACCCCGAAGTTGCGGTGAGGATTATATTTTTATATTATAACATGCTCCTGCAAGTTGGGTGCCCTTTTTATGGGCTGAAACCTGCACCCACGCAGTGGTATCAATTTCTAGAAAATCTATTTCAAATTCATGGCTCATGGAATTTGAACATGGGTTGCGCTAATACCATTTTAATGCCCCTCTAACAATTACACTAAAGTCCAAAGTTGTGTTGAGGATTTATTTTTATATTTTAACAGAGTGATCATAGATTTGAACAGTGAAAGAATTAAAACAAAAATTTCAAGAATGGATCTACAAACACGGCCGCATCTTGGTTATATATCTTAGGTTGTGGATCCAGAAGGATACTAAGCTGAGAATATTAATATATAGCACTTTCCAATCATGTAATGTAATTTGTGGTAGCAACTTTATATATGCTAAACATGGATGCAGCTTGTGCTGCTAAAGACAGGTTTGGACTTTTAACTTTTTCCAATCCCTCTTGAGTTCCTAAGTATGCTACCCGTGTCTGATCAATCTTGGGTATTAAAACAGAGACCTACCCAACCAGTAACTCAGACCGGGTTGGTTGGATCAAAGTTCATGTGGGGCTTTAACCAGTGTTTTAAATATCGGCTGACATGTCAGATTTAACGGCTATCCGATACGATATGGAGCTTTTTGACGCATATTGCGTTTTTAGGGTTTATGTCAGATATCTCGGGGGACATGTCGGATATGTCGGGGGACATGTCGGTTATGTCGGCCAATTTTTAAGTTTAAAAAATTAGTTGATTTTTTTAAAAAAATTTGTTATGTTTATCTAATCAGGTTTGGGTTTAAATTCTTGATTGTCTTAATATTACTTCCAAAGACAAGAATCAATAAGTTAAAGGAAATAGGAAAAAGACCGAAGTAATTTTCGTTGCGCATCTTCTCTCTCTTTTGACATCTCATCGGTCTCTTCTCCGAGCTATTCCTTCGACATCAATATCGGGTGATCTTCTCTCTTCATAACCGCCAATATCAGAGTCCTCTTTGCTAACATCTTTCCTTCAGCATCACCTTTAAGCATCATAAGTTATTTAGTTTTTTATATGTTTAAACAATAGAATTTATTAAGTATGTTTAGATTTTATTTATAAGATTTATATTACACATGCACACTATCCGATATAACAATCTGATATTTATTTTTCATGTCCCCCGACATATCCCCGATTTCCTATCCAACAAGAATTTTAGTCGTCTGACATGAACCCGGCATCCAATATTTAAAACCTTGCATTTAGGTTTAAGGTTAATCCAGTTTGAGTGGGGCCCTCTTTTACCAAAAGGTGGAGTATTTGTCTCCAAAACCTTATCCTATCCTCGCAATTTACCCCTATACAATCTTATAGAATACAGGAAAAGCTAGTATTTTTATGATTCATACATGATATGTTGGATTTGGTATAACTAGTATTTTTACGATTCATATATCATATCTCGGATTTGATATTGTCTGGTTCGATCCTGTTTGTGCCTCCTCATACTTTCTTCCCAAATCTGACTTTACTTATGCTTGGTTTGATTTTGGTGCCCATTCCATGACCAAAGTCGGACTTGCATCCCTACTGCCAAGTAATCCTTGGTACTTTGGGATTGAGGTGTAGTCGTCTATAACAGGACAAGGAAATGCAGAGCTGGAAGAGTACTTAATCAATGTCATCAAAAGATAGACTCACCTTAGTAGCAGACATAAAATAGAGAAGATAGATGGATGCTTGAGGAAAACATGCTGATTTCGGTTTGGAAGCGATTTTAAAGGAAAACACTTGTCAACAGTATTCAGATTGAGTTGTTACTTGTGCAGAATTCTCACCGAATCGAATTTTGTGTCTCATCATGTTGGCTTTCATACTGGTTGTCATGATGTCATCTCAACTCATAATTATCAGTTCTTAGTTCTCCTACATTATGAAACTCGAGGTTGACTTTTTTTTCTTTCCAATCAGTGAATGTTGCGCAGATGACTAATCAAGTGCAATATGCAAGTGCGATAGTTGTAGATAAAGCAACTCAATCCAATGTTCATGTAATGGGAAAAATCCTAGTTTTATCTGGGTCGAAAAAATCCTAGTTCATAAGGATTTGAGAAAACCTAGTTTGATTAAATTGAAGTAATCCCAGTTTGGATTAGACAAGTTTGCTTTATTTAGAGATTGTTTGAGAAATTCTATTTAAGTTAAACAGCATCTGTTATATTTGAGGCATGTTAGTTTATTTAGAAATTTTGGTTTAGTTAGGATTAGAAATTTTACTTCTATTCAATTTTGGATTCTGTAGATCTTTAAACTCAATCCAGTCTTTTTCTTCTTCATCTTCCCTGCTGATCCCCTGCTGCCACCTTTCTCCTTTCATATCACCAAACCAGTCTGTTCTCTTCCCTGCTACTGCTACCCTCCTCTTATCTTCCTCATCGTTGTGTTAGTTTATTTTCTAGACACACATGCCGACATTTTAGCAGTACGGTAAAATTGACCTCATAGCTTACGCTCCAAAACTCACTTAAACACGAGATTCATTTAGCAGGTCAAAGAATGAGCACTTGTTTTCTTTCTTTGTTTTGCCCAAATAGTGCATCTACACAAACATTGCTGGTGTAAATTAGTTAACAATGACAATTTCTGTGTGTTCATGCTTGTATGTGTCAAAATTCTGGTTGTTCATTTTTCCAGCCACTTGGTAATGAGAATTAACATCTGCAGTATTTCCACTTTCATGCTTGCATATGCTCGAAAGCTGTCTATTTTCGGCTTTAAACATCGATTAACCGTTTGCACAATTTGCTCATAATCAGCATGTTACTAGAAGACAAATTAACATGTTAAATAATCTGTACTTATTTCGAAGAAAAAATATGCAAGAGAAGGGATGCACTGAATAACTGATGGCGATGGGCGCTGTAATCTTCTTATCGCTGCTTGCTTTTACATGTTTTTTTAAATGTTATATGAATCTTACTAGAATTTATTGTCGAGAAGTCAATTTTAACAATTAATAGAGTCAGTATGATCTGTGAAAAGAGACACAATGTTCTCTTTCCTTGTATCTTTCGTACAACTTTCGTTAGCCCTAAGGACACCTTTTCTGAAAGATAGCTGTAGACAGGATTTCTCTTGTTGCAAGATGACATCATTTTATGATTTTCTGGATTTGTATGTGAACCGATTGTACAGAAGGTTCCAAGGACAAGAGTTCAGTAGAGAAGGGATAACCTTAATAGAGAGCAGGAGAACCGGCCTGTACTCTTTTATGCATTGTGTAAATATAATACCAAAAAAAAAGAGGAAAAGAGTTGGCTTCTTTCCTGAATTATGTTTGTCCCTCCACTTTTAACTTCTATATGCTGACAGGTCAGAGACAGATATCATCAATGTAGCAGAGCGAAGAATATGGCAATCAATGGAGGAAGGGCACTTTGAAAACCTACCAGGACGAGGAAAACCTCTCGACTTCAGCACAAATGCTCACGCCGATCCTGCAGAGGACACACTGTACAGAATCCTTTCGAGAAATGGTTGTGCTCCAGAGTGGGTTGAACTGAACAAGGAAATTAGGTGCAATATTGCAGAGTGGAGGTTAGCCTTGAAGAAAGCTCAAGCAAATCGAACAAACAACTTAGGTTCCACATGGCCTAAGGATTTGGAGTACCTTAAAGAACAGATGCGGGATATTAACATTAAGGTGGTCAATTATACTGTTTTCTTTATAGATAAAAGGGTTAATTGCAGATAAACCCCTGCAGTATTGCTGTTTTGAGCTTACTATCCTTGTAGTTATGTTGTTGCAGATACTCCCAGGGCTAAATGTTTTGTGAATCTCTTATCCTTAGATAGACTCACTAATTTCACCCATGGGCAATATCTTCCAAAATTCTGCCCATGGCAAAATAGTTAAAAAAAATTAATCCACAGGGTCTATCTTCAACAATGAAACTACTACAGGGATAGTGAGTTCGAAACTACGATACAACAGGGGTTGCTGTGCAATTAGCCCTAAAAATATTAGTAATTTTTTTAGGAAATCAATTATAAAGTTTTTTTTAATTGAGGTTTTTGACATACTTGTCAATTGAATTGCAGGTACTCCGGTACAATCTCATAGTGCCCTTTGGTCGGCAAATGTTTGGACTCAAATGGGAGAAAGAAATAGATAAGTTGGAGTAAGGCAATTTATGTTTGTCTTTTTGTACATTCTGTTATCAATTGTCTATTTTGTTATATGATGCTAAGATCATGAAGTTAACTAGTCAGATGCAACAACAGAAGAAACAAAGAAAACCAAAGAAAAGGAAAAGGATGATTATGTAGGCATAAGAAGGTAGCTATATATGCATGATATATGTATGTATGTGTTAAATATTGCGAAATATTATAGAAAAAGGGAATATGTAGATTTTTCTTGCAAAGCTTCACCCACCTGAAAAGGGGCGTTTGGGGTATTTTTTTTTCCTTCTTATTTTCCTTAATTCCCCTTGACATGGTAATATTTTTTCTTTTCCTTTTCATTTTTTAGGTTGAGTTTTATTTGTTTGTTTGATTGGTTGGTTGTCTATTTGGTTCTTTTGTTGTTTGTTTGCTTGATAGGGGTCGATGTATGTTTTGCAGGTGTGCTTGTATGTGTGTGTATGTGTATGCATTGGGTGTGTGTGCATGTAGACGGATACGCGGGCGAACAAGTGTTCAGTTGTACAAGTGGTTTGTGTGCGCGTGCGTGGGTGTAAGCGGGCATGTACATGGACGTGTGCATGATTGTGTATGTGCCCATGTGCATGTTGGTGGATGTTCGTATGTGTGAATGGGTCCACGCGTGCGCGTAGACGCAATGGCATGTGTGCACACGTATGAGACGTGTATGGACATGTGGGTGCATGTAGTGTGGTTGGTGGATATTAGAGGCAAAATGTTAGTGTGGTTGGTGGATGTTAGACGCAAGCACACGTGCATGAAGGCATCAGATTTATTTCCTATACATGTATTATCGGTGCATGTGTCGCGTGCATTTTTTGCGTATGTGTATGATGCCATGCATATGTAATTACTATGTATTGTGGTGTGTATCTGAAACCGTGTCTTTACTATGTATTGTGGTGTGTATCTGAAACCGTGTCGTGCGTGTATTGTTGTGCGTATGTGAAACCCTGTGGTTGGATCTGAATGTATGAATGACGTGTGCATAGGTCCATGTGTTTCCATCTGCATGTTGCCTTGTGTTTCCATGTGCATGTTGCCTTTTGTTTCGATGTTGTTTTTGTCACATTCCTTCTTGTTGGTATGGATTTCCTTGTTTAAACTACCACTTCACTGTTGTCTGGAGACTTTCAAGAAAGGAGAATTTTTTAAAAAAGACCCTACTTGAAACATTATTAGCAAAATCGACCTCTTTTTGGCCAAGTGGCCGAAAAGAGGTGGATTTTGTAAAAATGAAGGTTTAAAATACACGGGACTACTAGCACCGTGTATTTAGTGGTGCCTAATTACACCCTAATGAAGTTTAATTAGTCTCGTGTGTTTTTTAAAGTTTAATTAGCATGTGATTAGTCAACACTAATTACACGGGACTGCTAGTAGTCCCGTGTATTTTAAAAACTATATTATTCAAAATCGACAAAAGATGTCGATTTTGCTAATTAAATCCACAAAAAAGTCGATTTTGCTAATAAAGTTTTAAAAACGGTCTTTCCTTTTTTTTAAATCCTTCAGGAAACTACTGTTATGAACTGATCTAAGGAAGATTTATACAAATTCCAGGTGGTTGGTTGTGCTAGATCTAAACCAAAACTTGAGATCTAAAACCATATAGCCATGATTAATTCAAAGAGATTAACAATAATCAAAAGAGTGCGGAAGATTATACCTGAATCCATAGAAGAAATCTTAATTTGGGTTTTTGATGATCTTCTAACCTTAGGGTTTCTCTAAATCCGAATTTCTCTTACTAGATGGGGGTGTAGAGAATTAGAGAATGTAACCCTAGGTTAGGGATCATAACCCCTTATTTATAGATGTTGTACTTTTATAATTTAGCCCCTCAATAAATCACAATTACAACCTGGTATCTGCACATATAACCCCATGATTATATTTAAATACCTATTAACCCAACTTAATTGATCACTTTAGTGGGTTATCCTGAAAGATAGCAATACACATTGATTAATCATATGTGCCCACAAATAGATTTATTAGATTAAATCCAACAATCTCCCACTTGGGCACCATATGATTCCTTAAATTGTGTATAACCTTATGAGCTTAAAAATTGCTATCACTGAAAAGGTATTTTCGAACAATCTCGTCCATTGACTATATCAATATAGGATCAAAGCGGCTTTCATCACATTTATCGTGACTCGACCCATCAATGGTCACATATACCAATACAATCAAACGACATAGATCAATCATGGATGTGCAACATGAAAATTACATGCAATGTGATCAGTACATGTCTATTTTCAACTGGTCCTCCTTAGTGAGGTCAAAACCAAACATAATGTAACAGAGTGTCTTAACTGAATACTTTATTCTGATCAGACAATACAACCAAACATAAAGCACCACAAATACAAACTCCCACTAAAACATAATATCCTCAAATAATACCACACCCATATGAGCAGTATGCTCATGAAAGACCTTAGGTGGCAATCCCTTAGTAAGAGGATCAGCTATCATGGAGTTTGTCCCAATGTGCTCTATGGATATCTGTCCACTCTGTACCCTTTCTTTCACAACCAGGAACTTAATGTCAATATGTTTTGACTTAGTTGAGCTCCTGTTGTTATTGGAATACATTACTGCAGATTTATTGTCACAATATAGCCTTAGTGGTCTTTCAACATTTTCCAAAATGCGCAGTCCCGTGACAAAATTTCGCAGCCATATTCCCTGATTGGATGCCTCATAGCAAGCTACAAATTCTGCTGCCATAGTGGAGGAAGCTACTAGTGTTTGTTTGACACTTTTCCATGATATAGCTCCTCCTGCTAACATATAAATGTAGCCTGATGTAGACTTCCTGCTATCTTGGCATCCAGCAAAATCAGAGTCCGAATACCCAATGACCTCTAATTTCTCTGATTTTCTGTATGTGAGCATGTAATCTTTTGTTTTCTGAAGATACCTCATAACCCTTTTGACTGCTATCCAATGATCCATACCAGGGTTGCTTAAGTATCTGCCTAACATCCCAACAATGTACGCAATATCCGGACGCGTACATACCTGAGCATACATTAGACTTCCTACAGCCGAAGCATAAGGAATCTTCTGCATTTCCTGAATTTCAAGGTTACCTTTAGGGCACTGATTGAGACTAAACTTGTCTCCTTTAGCAACAGGGGTGTCACCTGGTCTGCAATCTTGCATGCCAAACCTTTTAAGTACCTTATCGATATAGCTCTTTTGTGATAATCCAAGAATACCCCGAGAGCGATCTCGATGTATCTGGATCCCTAATATAAAAGAGGCGTCCCCAAGATCTTTCATCTCAAAATTCTTTGATAGAAATCTCTTGGTTTCGTGCAACATGCCTATATCATTAGTGGCAAGCAAGATGTCATCGACATACAGAACCAGAAAAATATACTTACTCCCACTGAACTTGTGATATACACAGTCATCAACAATGTTCATCTCAAAACCGAACGAGATAACTATTTGTTGAAACTTATGATACCATTGACGAGGAGCTTGCTTGAGTCCATAGATGGATTTCCTTAATTTGCAAACCATATTCTTTGGGTCTCCTGACACAAAGTTTTCTGGTTGCACCATATAAATCATCTCATCAATGTCTCCATTGAGAAATGCAGTCTTAACATCCATCTGATGTAACTCAAGATCATAATGAGCAACAAGTGCCATGATTATTCTGAAAGAGTCTTTCGATGAAACCGGAGAGAAAGTCTCTGTATAATCAATGCCTTCCTTTTGAGTATAGCCTTTAGCCACAAGACGTGCCTTATACCTCTCCACATTACCGTTTGCATCCCGCTTGGTTTTAAAAATCCATTTACAACCAATTGGTTTTGCACCTTCTGGTAATGGGACAAGTTCCCAAACCTTATTGTCTTGCATAGACTTGTACTCTTCATTCATGGCATCAATCCACTGTTGAGAGTTAGAACTTTTCATGGCCTGAGAGAAGTTGATTGGATCATCTTCTAACATTCCACTACTTTCCTCATGTTCTTGGAGAAATACAATATAATCATCCGGAATAGCATTTCTCCTTTCTCTCGTGGATCTCCTTAATGGCACTGGTTCTTGAGGTTGTTGAGTTTGTTCTTCTGGAACAGGGAGTTGTTCAACATTATCATCTTGAGGTTCCGGATTTACTTCTTGAGCAACAACAGGTATAGGAACCTGAATATTGTCAAAAGTAACTGTATGGATTGGATCTGAAGCCAATTCCTCCTCAAAACTAATGTCTCTAACCTTATTTCTCCCCCCAAACTCAACATCCTCAAAGAATGTTGCTGTTCCCGTCTCAAAAATATTCCTTATAGTGGGATCATAAAACTTATAGCCCCTAGAGCGTTCAGAGTATCCAATAAAGTAGCTGCTAACTGTTTTGGAGTCCAATTTCTTTTCATTTGGCCTATAAGGCCTTGCCTCAGCTGGACATCCCCAAATATGTAAATGCTTTAAACTGGGCTTTCGACCAGTCCAAAGCTCATAAGGTGTTTTAGCAACTGCTTTACTTGGTACTCTATTCAGAATGTAAGCTGCTGTCTTAAGTGCTTCTCCCCAGAGTGACTCTGGTAAAGAAGAATGAGCAATCATACTTCTTACCATATCCTTAAGAGTCCTATTTCGTCTTTCAGCTACACCATTCATGCTAGGTGAACCCGGCATGGTGTACTGTGGGACGATACCGCATTCCTCTAGGTATCTAGCAAATGGTCCTGGACGTTGTTCACCTGAACCATCATATCTACCGTAGTACTCACCACCACGATCAGATCTGACGGTTTTAATTCTTCTGTTGAGTTGATTCTCAACTTCAGCTTTATAGGCTTTGAACATGTCCAGAGACTCAGATTTTTCATGAATAAGATATAGGTGCCCATAACGTGAGTAATCGTCTATGAATGATATAAAATATTGTTGACCATTCCAGGATTCCGTAGGGAATGGCCCACAAATATCCGTATGTATCAATTCTAAGACATCCGAAGATCTGTTGGCACCTAATCTTTTCACTTTGGTCTGTTTTCCCTTGATACATTCAACACATACGTCGAAGTCCGAAAAATCAAGGGAATCCAAAATGCCATCAGACACAAGACGCTCAACTCTACCTTTTGAGATATGACCCAAGCGCTTATGCCATAATGACGCTGAATTTTCCTTATTTAATTTACGCTTAGTACCACGTGATTCCACATGCAAGGATTCATTATAAGAAGCAATTGTATCAAGCAAATATAGGTTGTCATAAATACTCAAATAACCGGTTCCCACAACATTTGAATTAAAAGATAAACCGAATTGATTGTTTCCAAATGAACAAGAATCACCTGATTTGTCCAATACAGAAACTGAAATCAAATTCCGTCTAAAAGACGGTACTACAAAAGTATCTTTTAAGTCCAAATAAGAACCAGTTCCTAACAACAACCTAAAGTGCCCAATTGCTTCCACATCTACCGATTGTCCGTCGCCCACAAAGATGTGTCTTTCAACATCACTTGGCTTTATTTTCAACTGGTCCTCCTTAGTGAGGTCAAAACCAAACATAATGTAACAGAGTGTCTTAACTGAATACTTTATTCTGATCAGACAATACAACCAAACATAAAGCACCACAAATACAAACTCCCACTAAAACATAATATTCTCAAATAATACCACACCCATATGAGCAGTATGCTCATGAAAGACCTTAGGTGGTAGTCCTTTAGTAAGAGGATCAGCTATCATGGAGTTTGTCCCAATGTGCTCTATAGATATTTGTCCACTCTGTACCATTTCTTTCACAACCAGGAACTTAATGTCAATATGTTTTGACTTAGTTGAGCTCCTGTTGTTATTGGAATACATTACTGCAGATTTATTGTCACAATATAACCTTAGTGGTCTTTCAACATTTTCCAAAATGCGCAGTCCCGTGACAAAATTTCGCA